TCTGGAGCAGTCGTGAGGCAATCAGAAGGCAACGTTTCTTTTCTGGTTGTGTTGGAAGTCGATGCGCAAGACAGTAAGGGCTTCTCAGGACCAAGTGTTTGGGTTCCCCACGTGGAAGCAGAGCCTGCAGCGGGCCAAGCAGAGTTCACTAGATATTGCTGTTCCATGGACAAAATATCCCAGGAGACGATCTGATTACCTTTGCTCAGATGGTCTGCACATCAAACAGGCTTCTGATGATAATTTGATTCCTCCGGGCCTTGATGTGGAAGCATGCCAGGTACGGGAACCAGGGTCACATTAGCATCTGGTTCCAAGAACAGTGTAGGAGATGGCTAGGATTTTTGATGGTCTAATCATGCCTCCCTCACTTCATTACCAGATGACACCCCCTGACACCCCCTTGTAGTGGTGAAAATGAAATAATAGATGTTGAGAAGTCACTTTGGAAACTAGAAGAGTTTGAACAAGAGGGTGCAGATCTCATTGCTCACCTCTCCTTGGGCACCCCAAGTTATTCCCCAGTTTTTCCTATGCTCACCCTCTCTGTATGGAATTCTGTGGGGAGGTCAAACTGAACAGTGTTTGGGGTCTACTCAGTGCCATGTTTGGGCATTGCCTCCCTGTGGTGCTTGGGGGAACCCTGTAATGGTCTAGCTAGAATGCAAAGCTTGTGCATGCCCAGTTCTTCATTGTATGTGTCAAAGTGGACTATCATTTACTTACTGGTGTGTTACCCCATTTACTCTGTCTCTTACCAGATCACAAGCTCCATAGGAGGAAGCGGCTAGTGGATTTCACTCTTTATTGAGTTCCTTGTGCTTGGCCCCCAACAGGAATTCAATATTTCCAATAAAATGTATGCCAGGTAAATGCAAGGTGCTATTTTTCAATTCTCCCGGTAGAAAAACTTTGGCCTCTGTGCTTGTGCAGTGGAGAGCTTGCATAGCCTGGGTTAATGCTTGGGATATAGCAAAGATCAGGTCTCGGTTCTGCAGTCTTGCAGTGAGGACCAGCTCAGTGCTGTAACCTGGCGAGAATGCAGGCCTCTGTCTCTCACATCTGTTTCTACCTGAGCATTCTGACCTGGAGCAGGTGGGTTCTGGATCATTTTGCAAGATGCTTGCCCTTTAGTGTCAAAGTAACGCAGCAGAAAAACACTTACACAGGGGCATGGAGCATAGAGGAAAAGGGTAAAGGCCCTCCCGTTGATCGTCGATTTGCTCGAGCGGGCCCAGTAACGTCTCCATTGGAGACTTTGTTGTTACTGTGTCTGGCATATGGAATACTCTCGGTAGCTTGCCGGGCTCTCCGAGAGGGGCGGAGGAATCGAACTCGGGTCGGCCATATTGGCCGCTTGTAAGGCGAACGCCCTACCCGCTGTGCTATCACTCCAGTCCAGAGGAAAAGGGTAAACTTCTGGATACCTCTCCCTGAGCCTAATTTCTCAGAAAGTTGTGTAAGGAAGAAATGTGGCTATTATAGCTCGGACCAAGCCACCTTCCTCCATTGCTCCCCAACCTTAGGACTGTTTTTGATTCTACAAACATTCTAACCTATACCAAACCATGTCTTTGGGATTACAGTTGACCCTTGATCAACAAGGATTTGAGCTACATGAGTCCATTTACATAATAATGTTTTTATATGCCGGTTATTCTCCCAAGGATTCAATTGATCACCATCTGAGGTTGGTTGCTTCTGTGAATTTGGAAACTGCAGATATAGAAGGTCAACTATAAGGACTTAGTATTTTGGTGTAGGGGCTCCTGAAGCCAATTCCCATCCAGATATAACTGTAGTTAAGTTTAGGGAGAGTCAAAAGGTATTTTCAGATCTTCCACTGGTGTGGGATCAGTGTCTCTACCCCATGCATTGCTCCCAGGTCAAGAGCATGTATGCTTTGCCTAACCTTGCCCTCACCAGCCCATTTCCCTAACTGCAGCTAGCACAATTCTTCCTCCCTCCCTCCCTTCCTCCTTCCTATAGTCCCTCCCTCTCTTCCTGCTTCCTTCACCCCCTCCTTCCCTTCCTCCCTTTTTCCCTCCCCACTTCCTTCCTCCTTTCTCCCTCCCTTCCCTCTTCCTTCCTTCCCTTCTTCCTTCCTTTGAGAGCATTCACAGAGAACAAGCTTCACAACTTGGTGGTTGGCTAGGCTGAACTTTCATTCTGGGGCTCTTCAATTGATTTGGAGTTGAACACTGGTAATGGACAAGCAATAATTTCCCAAGAGAAATGAAGAGGATTTCCTTTCCACTGCTCATGCAGTTATTACACAGTTATTTTATGAACATTTCCTACATAACAGGGACTGGACTAAAAGTCCCCTGCCCCTATCACAGATGAATGGGATAGAGTTCTGGTTCACAGTGAATATACCCTGTGATAAGGGCCAGAGAGAGAGAGAGAGAGAGAGAGAGAGAGAGAGAGAGAGAGAGAGAGTAGAGAGAGCAAGGCACTTGCCTTGCAGCCAGCTGACCCTGGTTTGATCCCAGGCATGGCATGTAACCCCTTAAGCTATGCCAGGAGTAAGAGGAGAAAGGAAAAGAAAGAGAGAGAGAGAGAGAGAGAGAGAGAGAGAGAGAGAGAGAGAGAGAAGAGAGAGAGAAATGCAGTGCTAGGTGCTATTATAGTTTGATAAAATACTTTTGAAGCTCAAGAGGGAAATATTCATTCCATTTGAATATGGAGTTAGCAAGATATGTGTTAGAGAGAATGAGCTGCTCGTTACCTATATGGGAAGGAAAGGTATTCTAGACTGAAGGGATGAACACAGAAGTGGTGGGTTAAAGAATGTAGGGGTCAGATTCACACTGATGTTTCTTACAGTGAGTAAAATGTCAGTCCATTCAGAAACTGTGAACCTTTTGCTTTTTTTTTTTGAATCACAATACAAAACTGTGAGAAAAAACTAAAAGCTGATTTATTTCCCAGGAGGAATATGTGCATCCCTCCCTCCCTCTCTCTCTCTCTCTCTCCCTCTCTTTCTCTCTCTCTCTCTCTCTCTCTCTCTCACACACACACACACACACAATCACGTAGCATTGTCATTGTGATCTTGAACATTTTGCTCCAATGAATAGGCTTAAGAACCTCTGAAGAATACATATTTTTCACATATATGTATATACACAGGTGTATGTAATACACACACATACATATAAAACAAGAGGAATGGTAATCTCATGTGCTATCCTCTTCAATCAGTTATACTGCCCCCCAAATAACTCCTTAAATTCTCATAATAAGATTCGCTTTGGAAAGACCACAATTAGCTGACTTCTTGTCTCCAAAGTTTACAAAAGGTCATTGGTTAACCTCTCTACCACAATGACTTTTTCTACCTTTTGGTTAGAATGCCAGAAAGACATTTAGAATCTTAGTGGAACCAAGTGTGGGGTTAGGCCTAAGATTCAGACCCTCTGCCCCACCCCCCTACACCCCCACTCCTACCCCCACCACTCTAAAATAGGCAGGGGAGTGGTGTGGCTTTTCTGGGCTGCACTGTTGTCTGGCTTAGTCTACCTTTGCAGGTAATTAATTCCCCAGCCTGCTTATTTTTTCTAGTTGGCTCTTGTTTAGCTTCCACAGAGCCCCACCCTGAAGTGCTTTATTGTCCCTCTGCTGACTATTCCTACATATGGTCAAAATCAACTCACCTTCCAGGGTGCTGACATCAGCAGCTTCGCTGGCAAACTAGGTTCTGCTCCGAGTAACCCTTTGCTAAGGCAGTGTTAATATAGAAGGGTTCTGGGGGTTCACAAGTTTGTCTAATCTTAATATCTTCTCCTCCTAGATGCAGTCCTAAGGAGAAACTCTTTGTGTCTTTGGATTTACAGCCACAGGCAGGATATTAACACCCCCAGACCTGATGGGTAGTACTAGAGCACTGCTAATGAGCAAACAGCCCCGACTCAATTAGTGGTTTGTGAAATATTCCTGGATATCAAATTGCTTTTGCTGCTTGATAATCACCCTGACTCTTGGGATAAAAAGCAACCAAGCAAAAATTGTTCCCTTGTTGAGTACTGCATTGTTGATCTCCTAAGTTATATAAGTAGACGGAAATTTAAGTTTGCAGTTCCCCAGAGCGCAAGTCTGATACACACTAGCGATCAGTGTTGTGGTGTTTATGTTTTCTTTTCTAATCTCTTCAACAGGATCCAGATTGCCATCTTTGGAGACTGAATCTATGATCATTTAAACAAGTCTGATTGTTTAAAAAAAAATCAGCTTTCATAAGACACAAAATGTAAAACTGTCATACTAGTAATCATGTTTGCAATAGGTGTTTATGAAAGGGGAGAGAGAGGAGACAGAAGGGAGTGGAAGAGACTCAGGCAGGGAGAGAGTTAGAGAGAGGGGGGGACTTAATGAAACTAGGAGAATGTTTCATCCAGATTGCAACTTGACTTTTTCCTGTTGACTTTTTCTAAGTTTCTTTTTCATTTATCAAGTAACTTCAATTTAGCATTAATGTTAACCCCCAGCACCTGAAAAAAGTTTCAGTATAGAGCTTGGGAAGAAAAAAGTAGTAAAGGGAAAGGAATTCAAGATGTCATTGGTATTTGAATACATTTATTGTGACAAGAATGCTGTTATAAATATTCATAACAAAGACCATCTTTTATTTTTTTAATCTAGTAATTGTTAAAGTGAAGATTCCAAATTGGAAGGATACATCTTTTGTAAAATTCTGCCACTGTTCCTGCTTTGAGAATAAGCGACTATCATAAAGTTTCTACTAACATTATAAATGGTCACAGCACATGCCACCTGAAATCATCTAAACTTGACAGGGTTCGATTTACTTCCCAGGGGACTGGCACTCTGCTTCCTGGAAAGCCATGCTATCCTTTATAAGCAACTCCACAGAGTATAATTCTATAGGGAAGAGTATAAGTTGATGAGAACATCAGCGACAGTTACTTCTGAAGTCCAGGAGAGAAGAGTTTTTACTGCTTGATAGTAAGAAGCACTGTTGAGTGCCTTTGACACTCTTTAACTCTTTCCAGCTCACCTACCTAGGTCACCTATAGACGATGCAGAAAAAGAGGTTAGGGATTACTTTTTCCAATATTTTATTGTATTTTCTTAAATATCCTTTCTGGAATTTTTTTCAGAAACAAAACATAAAAAAATTATATACTTTATTACAAATGGTAAACTCAGAGTGCTCCAAATCTCTTATTTACAAACAACACTGGGCAGGACACCCAAACAAACAAACATGAAATAACTTACAAAGGCATGAAGCTGTTTATTTGACAGTGACCAGCTTTCATCAAATTAAAATATATATATATATTTATATATATGTACAGACACAGTTAGGGCAGGCAGGCCAGAAAAAGAGTTCGTCTGCAGGCTGGGCCTGGGCTCTCCGCACCTCCCTCCCTCCCGCCTCCCCTCCCCCACCCCCCTTTGTGTTCTTAAGGCGCACTACCGAAGCAATCTACAGTCTCTATTGCAGCTTGCAACCCTCCCCCGCCCCCCCACCCCCTTTAATACTGAATGAGATCGAATGTTAGGTCCATGCAGTTCTTGGTCAACGTTAACGAAAAGTCTGCCGCTCCGTCCGTGCGGGGACAGCCCGTTCGCAAAGCGGGACCGCCCGCGGGCTGCCGCTCCCGGGCTCCGCGCCAAGGGAGGGCCCGCCAAGTCCTTCCCACTCGTGCACACTGAGGGCGCCGTCAGGACGCAGCCCAGTCCAACTCCGACCCCTCCGGCTGGAGGCTGGAGTCCTCCGACCCTTCTTTCCTCGCGCGCTCCACCGGGTCAAGTCCTCCCTAAGCCAGTTCTCTCTCCGCGTCATCAGTGTATTTTTTTTTAAAATTTTTTTCTCCTCCTCCAGTGCCCCGCAGCCCCCGACCGTCCCGCGCCCTCAGAACGTCTGCAACTGCTGCGTGAGCATGAGCTGGCACCCGCTGTTAACGTGGTTCATGACTTTCTGCTTGAGCTGGGCCACCTGCTCGCGGAGCATGTTGGCGGTGGACGCCAGCTCCGAGTTCTGCGCTTTCAAGGTTTTCACTTTTTCCTCCAGCCGCGCGATGCGCTCCAGCTTCCTTTTCCGGCACTTGGAGGCGGCGATGCGGTTCCTCATGCGCTTCCTCTCCGCCTTGATGCGCTCCTGGGACTCCATGTCGATCGGGGACAGGGGCGGCGTCTCGCCGGGCATCTCGGGCACCGTCTGCGGCTCCTCCTTCAGGGCCTGCAGCCGCGGGTGCTGCACGGGGAGCTGCTGGGACAGGTGGTGCGGCGGCTGCGGCGGCGGCGGCGGCGGCGGCTGGGGCTGCGCGGGAAAGGCCAGCCCGGGCGCGCCGTACGAGGGCGCCCCGCCGCCGCCGCCGCTGCCCCCGCCGCCGCCGCCCAGCGCGCCCGGGTTGAAGTTGCTGAGGTTGGCGTAGACCGGCGGCTCGCTGTGCAGGCCCGCGCCGAAGCCGCCGCCGCCGCCGCCGCCGCCGCCGCCGCCCGCCACCGAGGCCACGGCGGGCGCCACCAGGCCCGCGCCGCTGACCGGCTGCGCCGCCGACGTGACGCTGGGCAGCGTGTTCTGGCTGTGCAGCTCGGCCAGGGCGCGCACGAAGCCCTCGGCGAAGCCCTCCTGCTCGTCCGTCACGTTCTTGGGGCACAGGAACTGCGTGGGGGTCGGCGTGGTGGTGATGTGCCCGTTGCTGGACTGGATGATCAGGCGCTCGAGCTCGGGCGACGCCAGCTTGAGCAGCCCCACGTCGGGCGAGGTGAGCAGGTCCGAGTTCTTGGCGCGGAGGTGCGGCTTGAGGCTGCCCACCGGGTCGGCCAGGTTCAGGGTCATGCTCTGCTTCAGGATCTTGGGGTTACTGTAGCCGTAGGCGCCGCTCTCGGACGGCAGGAACGAGGCGTTGAGGGCATCGTCGTAGAAGGTCGTTTCCATCTTTGCGGTCATAGAAGAGCAGCCGGTGCCTGGGCGTGCGCTGAGTTGGGGCGGCGCGCAGAAGTTTCGGGGCCGCAACAGCGCGCTGGCCGGCGGGGCAGCCCCGCGCCTCCCGGGGCCGCGGGCGCGGAAAGTTTCTCCAGGCGCGCGCGCGCGCTCGCCGGCCGCCTGGCCGGCCCGGCCTCCCCGCCGCCGGCGCCCTCCTGCTCACCGGCTCGCTCCCGGGGCCCGCCGCGGGGGAGAAGATGCCGCTCGCGCCGCTCCGGCTCCGCGCGCGCCCCCACGGGCGGTCGCGCTCGCGCTCGCGGGGCGCCCTGCGCCCGCCGCCGCCGCCGATCTCCGCCGCCGGTCGTCTGCCTCCCCCTCCTCGGCGGCGAGGGGGTGGAGGGGACGCCCCGACTTCCAGCCGCGCCGCGGAGCGCGCGTCCCTCTTCTCGCCGGGCTGCCGCCGCGGCCGCTGGGGAAGCTGCGAAGCTTTTGCAAAAGAAAAAAAAAAAACAAAAAAAGTTCGCTCCGGGTTCCCGGGCCCCCGGTCCGCTCCCCTCCCCTCCCCGCCGGAGCTTCCGCGCCGGGAAAAGTTGGGGAGCGCGGCAGTCGCTCGCCGGACACCCCCGGGGGGAGCTGTCAGCGGCACCCGAGCCTCCTCTCGAGCACGACTGGAGTCGGGGCTCTCCGAGCGCTCCCGCAAAACACGAGCCACAGGCGCCCGGCTCGGAGCAGAAGAGAAGCGCCGGGCAGCTCGGACTCCGCCGCGGGCTTCGCCTGCCTGCCTGCCTGCCTGCCTGCTGTGTGAGGTGTCCGTCTGTCTGTCTGTCTGTCTGCCTCCCTAAAGTCCGCGCACCTCCACTCCCGCCTAGCCGCGCCGGCCACACTCAGTGCAACTCTGAGCCCTTATCCAGCCCGAGCTCAACACTTATCTGCTACCAGTCAACCCCTAAAAATAGCCCATGATGTCACCCCGGGGCCTTCCCATTGGCTCGCGTCGCCCTCGGGGGGGCGGGCCGGCCGGTCGCCATGGAGACCCACCCTAGAAGATTCTTCTCGGGCCCCGCGGAGGCTCACGGGATGAGGTAATGCTCCGCTGCCCTCCTACAGTTGGGCCCTTCTTTCTCCGCCAACCCCCCCCGCCCCGCCGCCCGCCCCGCTCCCTCCCGCGCCCCTCGCACCCCCCGCACCCGCCGCGGCGCGTCTTTCCCGGCCCGCCCGGTGCATTGTGGGCTGACGTCTTGGGCTAGGTCTAGTGACGGCGGCCGCGGCCAGCCCGGGACGGCGGAGGCGGGCTCAAGTTCAAGCCTCGGGGTGGGGAGGTCGGGGTGGCGGGTGTCTGCGGGAAGCGGGCCGGGGGGTTCGGGGGACCCAGGCGGGGGTGGAGTTCGGAGACCTCCACGGGTCACTTGGCGGCCGCCGCCGCCGCCGCGCGGGCGTGCAGGGGCCGGAGGCGAAGTCCGCGTGCCCCCCCCGCACTTCCGGGGGGCGGGAACGCCGCCCTTAAGGTGGCCCCGGCCACTCGGCGCGGGGGCGAGGGAAAGTGGGCAGAGGTGTGGGGGGCGGGCTCGGGAGACTCGCGCCCCGCACGGCCGAAGTTTGTCTGCCTGCAGGTCAAGATCCGGCGCGACCTGCGGGGCCGGGCTGTCTGGCGGCGCCTGGTGCGGGTGGCCTCGGGCTCCGCTCGCCCAGCTGGACCCCTGGGGGTGGAGGGGTGGAGGGAGCGGGTCGGGGCGGGGGGGACCCGAACCAGGGTCGGGGTGGGAGGGTGGGGGGATACAAGGGGTGGAATTAGGTGGCAGTTCAGCATCATCCAGTTGGCAAGGAGCGTTTAGGGAATCCGAAACTGGGGAGCCCTGCGGTCTTCTTGTCTGCTCTCCGCCCCCGCAACGCGCGCGCTCCTACACACACACACACACACACACACACACACACACACACACACATGAGTTTCTCTTCCCGCCCTGATTTGCTTCCGGGGAAAAAAAAAAGGAGCCCCAAGATCGGTGGGGGACGCACGCCCGAAGTCCCCGCCGCCACTCCGGGCCAGAACTCGGCGCGCGCGGCCCGGGCGGTTCCGCGCGGCGCCTCTAGGCAGCGCTAGCCCCCTGTGAGTGCTTTCCCTTGCCGGCGTGGTGATGGGACACGCGCGCCCCAGCCCCCACCCCCGCATGTCCCGGGGAGCGGTGGGGGAGAGGAGACATGCAAGCTGGGGGTGGTGGCGTGGGGTCCGGAGCGCTTCTCGGCCTCTCCCCGCCGCCCCCCTGGGAGCGCAGCGCGCAACATCACCAGCAGCTCTGAACTTGGGGTCCCCGCTCCATCTGCCTGCGATCATCGCGGGAGCGGGACTGAGTGTCTCTCGCTTCGTGGCCCCGGGGGCCAGGAGGTAGCCTCCTCGGGCTTCCTCCCAGCCTCCACGAATGTCAGGATGTGCGGGTGTGAGGTGGCCCGACCAGGTGGCCGCAATCCTGGGAGGAGCAGCGGTTGCTGGAAAGGCAGGGTCAGAAGTCAGGCTGCCCAGGACGCAGGCGGTCAGGGACTCTCCGCCCTTTGATTCCCGTGTAGGCCTTTAGCTTTTGACGTGGGGGACTAGTCTGCTGCGGGTTTATAGCCCCTGCCCTCGGGATGCTTGTGAGCTGGGGGCACCCAGCGACCCAACAGCGGGGTGCAGGGAAGTCTCAAAGACTTCCTCCACCAGGCATGCTGAGCTCACTGTCCCTCCTGGAAGCTGCAGAGGGGAGTCCCAACTTTGGGCGGTGCTGGGGTGGGCATAAGTGGGGTGAACAGATCCAGTTACTTCCCCCAGGGAGGAAAGCTGCTCTGAACTGCTCCTGGAATCTCTGCTGCTGGAATCTCGACTTCTTTTGGAATCAGGGAACTGGGATTCTCAAGAATTTGTGTGATAGCGGGAATAAAAATAAATTCCATGTATGAGCCACCTACTCTCAGCCAGCCCTTCAAGGATGTGCTTTCTCCCCACCACAGTGGGGAGAGGCCTGTCAGGGTCTGGACTAGACAGAGGGAGGAGGAAAGGGGTCCAGAGAGGTCCCAGGGCCTCCTGCCCCCACTGGCAGCTGCAAGTTACATTTTTTCTATTTGATCTTTGATTCTGCAGGGGAGAGGATGCTTTCCAGTAAGGTGTTGGTTGTCTATGGCAGGAAGACTTAGTGCGACTGAAGGAATTGTCCAGGTAGAGTCTGCAATTCCTTCCAGGGCTCCTGGATTAGAAGTCTCGAAACTTAGGGGTGTGTGTGTGTGTGTGTGTGTGTGTGTGGTGTGTGTGTGTGTATAATCTGCCTAAGAGTTCTGTGTGTTCCTTTCTCCCGTATGTGGTTTTAGCAGGCGGATTTTCTCCTTATGTTGAGAAATAGCTTATTTCATCCAAAAAAAATCACAGATCTGTTCATGGTAACGCCCCTGCTTGGAAGCCTTCGCTGGCTTTCCCTTAGGGCCCAGAGAGTTGACAGCGCCCTTGCCTAGCAGAGGGGCCTGCAAGATTGGCCTCCTGCCTCTCCTCTCATCGCTCTCTCCCCCAGGCCCAATCCCATCAGGAGGGCCTGTATTCTGCTGCCCCAGTTGGCAACCCTCCTGCTCCTGGACCCAGCCCGGGGAGTTTAACTTCCCCTCAAGCCCACCCCATGCTCACCTTGTGGGTATTTGGGGGCACTGCTCACTATGTTCACGGGAGAGGGGAGGTCCTTGGGAAAGTAGAAATCTCTTGATGTGTGCTTCCCATCATAAGCTCTTAGGGGGTGACAGTGAAAGCATCAGGTGGCCACTGGTCCTCAGAGCATCTCTTGGAGCAACACAGCACTTCCGCTCAAGTCTCATTGGCCAAGGCCAGATCCATGGCCCCGCCTCCCTTCACGTGGTGGTGATGCTGCCAAGTGTCTTCAAGGGAGGGAGCCAGGAATATGGGGAAGCAGCACAGGCAGCACTAATTCCTTGCACAGTCTCCTTTTCTGCTCACCAAGTGTGCCCTTCGCTTTACTCCCCACCGGCAGGATCCCCTCACTCTTGTCTGGGGACCCACTTAGTCTCAGTGACCCACCTGTTTCCTCAGGCTCCGGGTGCTGTGTAGCCTACTCCACATCAGCTCCAGAGGGACTCTCCTCTCATGGCTGCTGTTTCTCCCTGAGTGGAAGGGCAGCCGAGGAACACTGTGCTGGGAAAGCAGAGTGGGCAAACCTAGTGGACACTATGTGAGGACCCTCTGACATCATGACACCACCTTAGACCTCGAGACTGCCTTTCCGTGTGCCCATGTAGCTGCCCTGGCTCCTGTTTCCCAAGCCTGACTGTCCCCTCTGTGATGGTCTTCCTTTCCTATGTCTAGATTAGGCTTTCCTATGTCTATATTAATAAAAACATATTTAAATAAACTTAAACATTGGGGTGAGAAATAGTATAGGATCTCTATCACTAGTAAGGTGCTTGACTTGCACATGGCCGACCTGAATTCGAGTCCCAGCATTGCATATGGTCCCCCAGGCCCTCTGGGAGTGATTCCTATATGCAGTAAACCCTGAGCATGCCAGGTGGGCCCCAAACACACACACACACACACACACACACACACACACACACACACACACACAAGCTAAGTTGGGGTGAGAAAGGGCAAGGATGTAACTTTGCAGTAGACTACTAGCCTTGCAAGTGTGAGGCCCAGGTTTTAATCTCTGGTACCATAAACACAAAAGTTTGGGATGAATGAGCAGTTTTAAGTCTCAAATAGAGTCTCCTTTAATTTAGGCATATACTCTTGTCAGGACAACCCTCACAGAAAGGTTGGTTTCTGCTCGCATTCTAGGGGGTTCCATGTGCCAGTAGTCACAACCAGTGCTCTTCTAGCCAGATTTCTGTGTTATGCCCTGTTATTTACTTTCCTGCTCTCTTGCATGCTGATGTTTATTTCCTTCCTCCTCCTTCTTGCCTTTCTCTCTCCTATTCCTTTTTCCCTTTCCCTCCCTCTCCTGGCTCTCTCTTAACTTAGTTTAGAGTGTTTTGTGCTTGTTGGACTTTGGTGGAGAGTCACACTTTTCCTCCACATCTGGAGGCTTTTGTATTCAATAGAAAGCAAAAGTTGGGTATCATTTTAATTTATTCAGCAATTTTAACAGTAAGTTTGGGACCATATCCTGACTTGATTCACATTTCAAGACGATTTAAATCTGTTCTTTGTTGCTGCAAAGGTTTTTAAATTTTTTTCTCTTACT